GGTTGCGAAGCTGCCTGCGGCCTCTGCGGCGCCGGTTCGATCCCCGGCTGCTCCCCGGCCACCAGAGGAGGGTCCCACATGGCGCGCAGACCTCTCCTGCCGCCCGCTGCTCCCCTCAGCAGTGTACTTCGGTCCTTCTGCCTGCTCTGCTCCCCACTCTGGCTCTGGTGAATTCTCTCACCCTCCCGCGCTTCTGACTGTACCCAGTGCATGTAAAAACAACAACAACAACAAAAAAAAAAAACAAATAAAATAAATAAAACATGCCTCTATAAAAAAAAAAAAAAAGTATCATGCTAGGCCCTCCCGGATGGCGCAGCAGGTTGAGTGCTGCGCTGTGGAGCTGTCCGCAGGCTCTGCAGCGCGGGTTCGAGGCCAGCCAGGGAGCAACCCACACGGCGCAGCAGACCTCTCCTGTCTCACCCACTGCTCCCCTCAGCAGTATATTTCAGTCAGTCTGCCTGTTCTCTTCCCATTCTGTCTCTGGTGAATCCTCTCACCCCCCCCCATCTCTGGCCTGTACCCCAACTCTTGTATGCATAAATAAATCTCTTCCCAAAAAAAAAAACCAATGCTTGCTTTGCAGTACTCGTTTTTGTTCACTCTGCTGCAGAGTTCCAATTCAGTTGATCCATCATAAAAACACTTTTCTGCTGCCTTCTATAAAATATCACTAACTTAAATAACATTCAGGTGCTTTAGTTGCTTTTCCTCTATTTCTTTATTTTTCTTCATTATTACACAAGTCAAGTTCTTCAGAACGCAATACTTTTTCCTCTTATATGCACCTTAATTTCTTCTACTCCTCCACTTTCAAGTAACATACACTTAATTGCTAGTTAATCACCTCCAACCAAGATTTCTTATTTAAATTCTATACTACTATCTCTTTGAACCTAGCTCACAAACACTTCTAACAGTTGTTCATCATGACCAGCAGAAGTCAATGGCTCTATTCCTAGAAGGCAGAAACTTCTACAGTTTTCTTGTACTGTCCCTGTCTGGTGTTCAACGTGAATCTGAGAAGAAAGTTGGTGGTGGTCACCTATATTTTTGATATTGCTCAAACCTTGAGAATGACCTTTTTCATTCACTAAGGTATCTGTTAAACATTAAGTTCTACTTTGAAACAAAATTAATTTACTTAAAATTACAATGTAATAATTTGCATGTTAAATTACCATTTGTGTACAGAACAAAAAATGTTCAAGATACTTATTACCTGTAAAAAAAAAAAAAATGACAGCTTTATTCACCTAGTATTTTAAGTAGTTCAGTCACCATTTTATTTTGTTAAAAAAATTATTTAAATAGGGCCTCCCTGGTGGCGCAATGGTTAAGATGCAACCTATGAAGCTATCCGCAGCCTCTGCAGCACCCAGCCAGCCAGGGAGCAATCCACATGGAGCAGCAAACCTCTCCTGACTTGCCCCACTGCTCCCAAAGCAGTGTGTTTCAGTAGATTCACCTGTCTGTTCCCCACTTTATCTCTTGTATGCATAAATAAATCTTTAAAAAAAATTATTTAAATAGAGGCAAGAGGGCCTCCCCGGTGGCGCAGCGGTTGAGCGCTCGGTTGCGAAGCTGCCCGCGGCCTCTGCGGCGCCGGTTCGATCCCCGGCTGCTCCCCGGCCACCAGAGGAGGGTCCCGCATGGCGCGCAGACCTCTCCTGCCGCCCGCTGCTCCCTCAGCAGTGTCCTTCGGTCCTTCTGCCTGCTCTGCTCCCCACTCTGGCTCTGGTGAATTCTCTCACCCTCCCGCGCTTCTGACTGTACCCAGTGCATGTATAAACAAAACAAACAAACAAATAAATAAATAAATAAAAACATGCCTCTATTAAAAAAAAAATAAATAAATAAATAAAAATTTAAATAGAGGCAAGAGGGAATCCATAATTTGTTCCATGTCAAAGTTATTTCCAATACTAAAGTGAAAACTGATCATACAGTGGCAGTCTTATTTTAAATATAAAAACACTGGTCTCACTGACATCAGAATATAACGGCACTTTATGAAAAGAACCCTATAGATATCTCAGTTCTCCCACTAACAGTGTAAGCTATTCAATCTTTCTGAATTGTGTTTTACCTCTATAAATTGGGAATAAAGCCTGCCTTACATACTTGTGATTAAGAATCAATAGATATATAAAAGGTTCAGCACAAAATAGGAACATAATAATAGGTCTCTTATCTATTTCTCTTAACTCCTGCTGATACTGTACTTTCAGAATTTAATAACTCACATTAATCACCTGAACTTTATCCAATGATTAGGGGACAATCTCATCTCAGCTCACATATTCCTTGCCTAATTAAAGCTTTCATTTCCCTTTCTAAAAATCATCTTCAATTCTAAATCAAACCTCTTAATTCTCTGACAATAACATCTAACTTATACATATACAACAGCTTTAAGCAAAGGGAAAAAATTTACTGGCTACAAAACCAGTCATGCAAATTAAGAGCCTATGCCAGAGTTGTCTTTTAATATTTGGCAGGATATGAAGACTGAATCCCAGCTGGCTGGCAGGGTAAGTATGCCAAATAGAAATGTAAGTCTTTACACATGTTACTCTAGAGTACAGATTAAAAACCTGTAGCAGACAGCAGAAAGATGGAGACTAGAAGTAGTCTCACTCTTTTACCCCTAATGCACATAGCCCTGGAATTCCACACTATAAGGAATGCTCTGAGATCTCTCAAAAGGGTAAATCTTTACGTCCTGCTAGTAGTCCTTTTTAAATGGCACACCTGTTTGAGAACTCACTGGGTTTAATAGCAACTGTAACTAAATTATTTGCAGATAAAAAGATGAAATCCTGACTCTGTCTTAAAATAATTCAAAAGGTAAAGGATAGGAGGCAGAGTAGTGTGTAGAATAAATGGAACAAGATGTGCCATATACACACATCTGCCTAAGATGGAAAGAGGATACATAGGGTTCTTTTAACATTCTATTTTCACGTGTCTAATCACTCCATAGTAATGGTTTTCTTCTTTTTCTTTTTAATTAAGTCAACCTTTCCCTGAAGTTGTCAGTCATAGTTGGTAATCTTGTTTCCAGATCCCTTAGCATCTATTTGGAAAGTACCAGCCACTTTACATTTTATCATGCCCTCATTCTGAGTTTCCTCTTCAAATCAGACACACTTTTAAAAAACATTATCGGGTATAAAATATTTAATAGAACCTAAAAATTAACTACATACTCCTCCCTATAAAGAGATGCCTGCTAAAACAATGCCAGGAGAGATGATATAAATTTGAGCTTGGATCAGCCCTCTTTACTGACAAAATACAATTCTACAGTGAAAATGGTCTCAATGAGCAGAAGATTCCACTGGAAAAATACAATGGAAATTGATTTGTATACCTCGAATAAGCTAATCACAGAATTTCTCAATGTTCTTGAATAAAATGCCTGTAAATGACCTGTACAGGATGTCTAAGACCTAAATAGATATTCAAGCATTTCTAATCTGAAGTTCAAAACTTTATTCTCAGAAGGATCTCAATTTCATTAAATGTAAAGAATCACACTTTAAATTGTCAGAGACCCCCTTTATCAAAAATCTTAGGTTTGGGTTTCTAAATTTTGACTAAAATCTGAAGGCTATCTGAATGAGTAAAGGCAATGACTATGTGACAGACACAATGCAAGAAAAGTGTCTAGGCACATTTCAGAGAGTCAAAAAGGAGCAACAAGGTACAGAAGGATCCCCAGAACTATAAACAATTTCCCTTCTTACCCTCAAGAGGGCTGCCAGGGCTTTTGCAACTCTAGGTAGTCAAGGGAGAGGAGGAAAAAAAAAAAAGAGTATGTTACACCATTTCCTCCTACAAAGGATATCTTATAAAGGAAGGAGAGGGACAAGTTGTTCTTGAACATGATTTATCTACATTTTAATACTCATTTTCTCTTACAAAACTCCATTTTTATAGAATGGTATCAGCCCCAGAATTAAAATTACAACTTAGTTACATCAGACCAGAAAGCTAACATCTCATCTGTACAGAAAGTTTCCAGTTCTCACAAACAATTTCAAATGGCAGTTTGGACATACATAGATGGAGCTATACAAGCAATTGTTGCCTATAAATATGGTAGCTTCAAAGTTCCTATTCCCTTTCTTCTTAAACATTCTTCCTATTGCTACATCTCTGCCTGGAATGATGTACTTGTCTGCAGGACAGCACTTAGAGAAGCCTATGTCTGCCTTCTTTGACCAATTTCACCACTGCTCAGCCTCATCTTCCTTTCTCCAGCCTATCTGCCCCATTTTCCAGATTAACTACCAACAGAAAGCAAGCATCAGCAGAACACTAAAATGCTGGATAACTGATGTGGAACAGCATTCCCAGAGTCTAGCACAGTGGAGGATACACAATAAGTGGCTCAACATGTTGAAAAACAATAAATGAATTTCATTCCAATTCTGCCACTAGCCAACCAAATCAAAATTAACTGGGAGGAACCAAGAGAAGGACAGTAACAACTAGCTCATCCTCTCATGTAAGGGTGAGAAGAAAAGTGAAAAATGTTCAGCATATTTAGTGAAGCTAGGCAAGACAGCCTTGTATAGTACTCTTTGAGGCACGTAAATTAAGGGCAAAGGACAAATTATTCTTAAGGATTCAGTACTAGGAAATGCTCATCTCATTTTTATTATCAATAACTATCCAAATCTTCCAGTAATAGAAATACTATGTAATCCTAACACAAGAGATATTTCTTTTTGGAACTGGAGCTTGAGATTTATAAAAACTGCTTCCAATCTTTCTGTAACAGTATTGTAATAGTATAGAAACAATGAAATCCAAGTTGGTTAAGTAAAATTTCACCCTTCACTGGTTTATTAAATCTTTTTAAAAATGATCTATAATCCCTAATAGTCATCATTCAGAAAGAAATCCCAAGTACATACAACAGTGTAGAATTTAACTAAGTGGCTTACACAATGCTCTCTTGGATCAGAATGAAGAAAATCAAAACTTACCTGAAGTCATTAATTTAGCACAGCTACCTTTGCTTGCATCATCTTCTAAAATACGGTTTGTGCTCTTTTCTTTCCCAAGCAAAGTATCCTCCAAATGTAAGCATTTATCAGATACAACACTGTCTTCACCCACCATATGACTAATTTTGCTATTAGCTTCAAGTACAGAAGTGATGTCTTCCAGCTGAGCAGCGTCACTAGATTCTGAATAAGAGGAACCCTTACCCTGGGCTAAATTCTTTGAAGAAACTGGTAGAGACTCATCATCACTATCAAATCCAAAAGGATCGCCAGTATTTTCTTCTTCCACCTTAGGTTTCTTCGGAATTTCTTGGATATCTGCTTTGAAATTGGGCCTCTTCTGCCCTAATTTAGCCATAAATGTGGTCTCTCCCCATTTTGTGCTAAGAGTGGTCCGTTTGTTGGAAAAGACTTCATCAAATTTTGAACTGCCATTTCCTCCTTTCCTACTGTATGTTTTCCCAAATCTGGATGTCATTTTGACACCTGTTTCATATTCTCTGTGGGAAAAAGTAAAAACAAACAAAAAAAAAAATAATCACTAAATTTTTAACAAGTATTAACAGCAAATATAAAAATAAGAACCTAAGGATTCTCCCCATGTGGCTTTTTAACATTCAAGACACAAATCTCTGACATGGTTAAATAAATATAAAGGGGGTTATAAAGACAGGCTCATTTTTTTTTTAACTCTATTTTCTATTACATGTCCGTTTTTTAGACATTGAGTACATATTCATTCATATGCTACTTATAAAGTAAGAAAGTGTATTGACCACTTTCTTACTAACTTATACAGCATCCACAAAGCCAAGTTACAGTGGAAGAGGGTTTTTTTTTTTAAGTTTCAAATGAACCGACTTATTCTCCTCATATACATCATTTTTCCCCTTAAAAAAATCTGAAGGATAGTTATCTCTAATATGAAATTAAGCACAAAACGTTAACTTTCAGGATTTCAAAAATGTCAATTAACTAAATCTAGTTCTCTGAAATTTCAGAGAAATTTCAAATTTATTCACAAGGGGAAAAACAATCAGAAAAGATGATGCTATTTTTTCATGTGTTATAACCCTCACTATTAACCCAACCTTAAGGATGATTCTTGGCCTAATATAATTTGAACTGTAACTTCAAAAATACTCCTTAGTTGGTCATCTCCCTAAGTGCAAGAAACCATACCTATTCTATCTTCTTTGTCCCTACAGAGCTGTGCTCATTTGCTGAGTTACATTTCTGGAGCCTTGGATTATTAAATGAAGCAATATAAACATAGGACACTATTTTCCTCTTTGCTGTATAAAAGGGCAAATCAATTTGCTTTATCTACATAATAACAAATACTGGATAAAAAAAATCTTAGGACAGTAAATCAAGAGTCAAACATTTTTTAAAACAAATTACAATACTTTTAAATACTATCAATGCTTATTCATTTCTCATACTTTGACCTTCTAAAGTTTAAATATCAATTATTAAATATAACTGGGAAAAAGTGAGGTACAGTTTAGAGGCTTAGAGAAAAAAGCTCCATATTTTGAAATTTACAACTGGAATGATATCTGACCTTTACTTTATGATATGTTTCGATCTGTCCTTCAAATGTTTTTCCTTTAATAACTTGAATTCTTGAAACTTAGAGCCTGTTGTCTTTTTTAAGTGAAACTTAAACTAAGTATATTTAGCAGCTGCAAGAACAAAGTCATTTCTTTCCACTGCTCCAAGAATGTAAAGCACTAATTTACAGACCTACATTTACATATAGTACACCAACAAAGCTGGACCACTTTGAATATACTTAACACAGTAATCACCTAAAAATGCTGACTAAAGGCCAAGCCAAAATCCTGGACTTGAGCTCCTTTAGGCCCACACCAGAAATACTCATTGTAAAAATGGTCTTAGAAACACAAAGCATTCACTGTTCCAAGTTGAAAGTCTGAGATGAATATTTAATATTAAGGAGTTAATTATTTTAAGCGCTAAGAAAATCGTTCTTGGCTTTTAATAGTCCGTGTCTTTTACAAATACATACTCTAAGAGGTATGGAATGGAAAATGTAGATGAAACACTTTTGTCTTAGTAACCTAAGTTCAGAACCCAAGTGCAAGGCAATTCATTATATAATAGCCCCTACTTTTGCTTTCCTGTATAGTTTTTCCACGTCTTTTTCAGAAAGCCCCTGTAGTCTATTGTAATGGCATTAGCTAAGCCTAGAGTGTGAAGTATACATAAACTTAAAAATAAGTGCAGCCCTATCCGACATTGTATTGTAAGTGCATTTCAAGTGCACAGGGTTATAAGGTTCAGGCTTCAAATCCCAAAGAGCAGCCTAACTGAAGAGAAAAAAACGACTGATTCACAACCAATTCTTTTCGGTCGTTAGGCCTTTGCCTCAGCCCAAGGCCAGGTCGAATTTTCAGGGAGGTGCGTGGGGATGGAAAGTCTTCACCCCTAAGCCCCGACACCACGTCTAGCGTCTTGGCGGATCTCCGAGAGTTCAGGGGCTTCCACTAAGAAACAGCAGCAGCAAAGGGCAGCCCTAACCGCCCCGAAATCCTCACCTGGGGGTGGTCGGTGCGACGGGAGGTAGCCGGGGAGGCGCCCCCCCGCCGGCTGGACGCTCGCACAACTTTTCTCCTCCCCACCCCCACCGCCCAGGAAAGGGATGTCGCTTCCGACGCCCCGGAAGCCTCCGCCACCAAATCCCCAGGGCAGTGTGAGGCCTCGGGGGCGGCCGGGGCGAGAGGAAAAGCCGGCAAAGGGCTCAGGGCTGAAACCAACACACTTGACCGCGCTGGGAGAGGGACGTCCATCAGCAGCGCCCGGAAAGAACTCGGGAAAAGCAGGAAAATAAAAAGAGTTCTTCAGGTCGTTCCCCTGCCCAACTTCCTCGGAGGCCGGGCGGGGGAGCGCGCTCCACTCCCCTCTCCCCGTCCAGAGCCCCTGCCTCCCCCACCCTCGCCGGCGAGCTCCGGGCCTAGGCGGCCGCCCGAGACCTCACTTACCCTCGGCGCCTGGCGGGTGCTCTGGCCTCAGGCCGCCTCCGCCTCTCCCGCTCCCAACGGCCCACGGGTGGCGCGGGAAGCCCGCGCGGGAGAAGAGGGCCGGCGGGTGCGCCAAGAGGGGCCCGGCGCTCCGCCGCCGTCAGAACCCGCGACTCGGCTCTCGGTAAATAGGAAACCCGGCGGAGGGGGGGAGGAGCGGCGGCACCGCAACTTCCCTCCCCGCCTTGAGCGCCGCCAGCAGAGCCCGAGCCTAGGCCTCCCGGGCCGCCGCCGCCACAGCCGGTCCCGGAGCCAGCTACGTGCCCCCTCTGGGCCGCCGCCGCCTCCTGCGCCGCCGCTTCCGCCGGTGAATGGTCAGCGCTGGAGTTTGAACAGGGCCCTGAACCATCTCAACGCCATTTGCGCTCCCGGCCCCCACCTCCTTCCTCCAACAGCCGCTCGCTCCGTCACTCCGCTTCCCACAGGCCCCGCGCGGCCGCCCGACCCCGCAGCCAATCGCGCGGCCTCTTACTCAAACCGCCGCGCAAGCGCTGCGTCCCGCATGCTCCGGCGCCCGCCATTGGCCCGGCCGCGCGGCCCGACGGGAGTTGTAGTCCGGGTCCGCGAGGTCGCGGTGCTGAGAGCCCAGCGCGGGAGCCGGCCGCGGGCAGAGCGGTCGGGGCAGGCCCGGCCCGCCTGGGCTGGGGAGCTGGTTCCAGCTCCGAGCCCCACCGGGAGATGCAGGTGCCGTAGGGGCGGGCCGAGGGCGCAGTGCAGGCAGCTGTATCAATCGCTTCCCCTCCAGGGACCCGCCGGTGTCTGGGGACGCTGGGTTGAGCAGCTGCTCGGGCCTGCTGGGGCCGCCGCCCGGGAGAAGGGAGGCGGGGAACTTGGGGCTCCCTGCTGTCCGCGACCCGGGGCTGGCCCCGTGCGGGTACCGACGGCGGGAGCTGGGAGACACCCGACTGCAGGGGTCGCGAGGAGATGTCGCCCCAGCCCTTAAATGCTCTCCCTCCTACTCTTCGGCCCTTTGTACTTCTTTCAACGCCTGTCTCACACCTGTTAACATTGGCCCCGAGAATTGGATAATATTAAGGAATTAATGTTACCCATGTCGGGTGTTATAACAGTAATGGAGTTTTGTTACACACAAACACAGGCATACTGAAACTCTGACGGGTACAATGATGCGGTGTCCGGGATTCCCCTTCAAATAACTCCTACCAAAAAACTGGAGGGAGAATAAAGAAGCCAGTCGGTTGTTTTTAATTGTGGATGCTGCGTAATCAACATGGGCTCTTTATTCTAGCCTCTCTACTTGTAGATCTGAAATTTTCCTTAATAAAATGTTTAAAGAACTGAACCAGTGATTGCTTCAGGGGAAGGAAAGGAGGTGGCGGGTGGCGGGTGACGGGAGGAAAGAGTGTTTTCCCTACACACCCTTTGTGATGGTGAGGTTTCTCCCTCTTAGTGTATTTCATACTCAGAAAACTGGAAAGTTTGAAGGGATTTTTTTTTTTTTTTTAAGGCTGCAGTGGTAAACAGTTCTAGAGTGGCACAGTCTATTCCTCCTGGAAAGGGGCACGATGCATCAGGCTTGTATCATTGGTCGCAGGTTAATGGAGAGTCAACTTGGAAAATAAAAAAATGCTAATTGTTTTCAATGAAAATCCCTCCCCTTATTCCACAAATGGGTAATTGCCTTTGAGTGCACCCAGAAGTTACCAAGCTCTTCCAATGTACCTGAGAAAGTGCGAATAAAGAAAAACTAGAACTAGTTCAGAGATCCTGCAGCCCTCCCCAGTTGGAATTTAAGGTTGATCTTAGCATGATTGAGTTGCTTTACTTCTGAGGGTCTTGCTTGCAAAATTTATATTCTGACATTTACTATTTCCCAAATAGTGTATCAGTACTTTCAATTCTTTGGTAGTTTATTTGAGTGGAAGCTCTAGCAGGTCTCTGTGTGTTCCACTGTGGGTGGTGTGCAAGTGACTTTTATTTGGGTCAGTTTTGTCTTTAAAAAAAAAGGCATAGGATCTTGTTTTGTCAGTTTGTTTGAAGATTGCAGGCAAAGGTGCAATCTGCACTTACTATAATTATTTAGATGACACTGTGGTGGGTGCTAATTAACAGGTAATTATCATCAGAGGCAAAGGCTAAGATCAAAAAACCAGAAGTGGTAGACAGACAAATGCAAGATCTTCCTATAGAAAAGTGTTGTGACTCCTCCAAGACCAAAGGATACCCTAGCACAGTTCATTTTGCCCTGGCCTAGTTAGTACTGGGGACTTGGTTGTGTCAGTGACTCCACATGAAGCTGAAATGGAAGAATTATTTTTTTTTAAAGATAGCTAATCTGCAGAATCCTTTTGAGTGCTTTTTGTGGGGTAGTTGTGTTAAGTAATGGAAACTGGTAGTGTTACTGCTAATTAAAGAGTGGTCCTGGTCAGTGGGTTATAGGCATAACCTGGGAGCTTGCTAGGAATACAGAATCCCTGGGGGGAGGGAAATAATTTTTTTAAAAAATACAGAATCCCTGACTCCACCCCAACTCCCCTGAGTCAGAATCAGTACTTTGACAGGATTCCTCCAGGTAATTGGGCCACACACTAAAAGATGACAGCATTGGTGTAGAGTATACCCATAGCATTTGACTGCAATTTAATATTCATTAGGGTGGAGGAGGGGAAAGAAAGAACATTAAGAACCTACTGTGCATCAGGTATCATGGAAGTCCTCATTTACATCGCTGCCTGTTATCCCTATTTATAGGTAAGGAAATGAAGAGGCTGACATTTGCTCAACATATTATAACTAATGAGGGAATCAACTTCTTCTTAAACATCGGATACCCATTATTTCTTGTAGACATTCTTGGTAGAAAATGGTATACGATTTGAAATTTTTTTTAATTATGTGTATTTAGCCTGTGGAAGCTTACTATATGAATACTGAGCAGAGCTATATTAGGGCTCTTCAGCCTCTTTTTTTTTTAAGATTTATTTTATTTATGCATATAAAAACTGGGGTACTGACCAGAGGTGCAGGGGCCAAGAGGATCCAACAGAGACAGAGTGGGGAGCAGAGCAGGCTGATCGACTAAAATACACTGCTGAGGGGAGCAGCCTGTGAGACAGGAGAGGTCTGTCTGCTGTGCCATGTGGGTCAGCTGCAGTGGCTGTGGATAGCTTCATAGTGCCAAGACCTAAACCCTTGCGCCACCGAGGAGGCCCCATCTTCACTCTCTATGTCTGATGATAAAGACAGGCAGAGAATACTCATCCTAGACCCCTTCTGGAGGAGTTCAAATGGCCTGCAGACTGCACCACTTTCCTCCCTGGCACCACTGAGGCAAGCAAATGTCCTCAGGTCCCCACACCATTTCCCACTATAGCCCTGAGTTCACACCAGAGTAAGCTACCTGAATTCCACTGCGGATTACACAGGGAAGCAAATTTTTGTTTTATTTTTATGTTACTGCTTTTGTTTTCTAGATTCCCTCAGCTCCACACTCTAGCAGCCCATTCCCTCCAGACCTTAGATTGGTTTTCTTCACTTCATTCAAATCTGCTTCTCTCTCTCTCTCTCTCTCTCTCTCTCTCTCTCTCTCTCTCTCTCTTTCACACACACACACACACACACACACACACACACACACAGGTAGCCAGTAGGTGTTTTCCCCTTTGCTGGAATGCCTCTATACAAACTCAGAAGTCTGATTTTATTTCCCATTTAATGTCACATTTATGCCAGAGAGAAATCATGGATCTGAGTCAAGCTGTACTCTGATACTGCAGGCTGCTCTCCCTTATGCTACCTGGAGGGGGCCAAAATCTCCACTACCTTGAATTCCACTCAAATGAACTCATATTTCACTTTAGCTGAAAAATAGAAAATCTAATAAAAGAAAACAAAACAGGGGCCTCCCTGGTGGCGCAAGGGGTTAAGCACCGCACTATGAAGCAGTCCACAGCCTCTGCAGCACAAGTTCGATTCCCTTCCAGCCAGGGAGCAACCCACATGGCAAGGCAGACCTCTCCTGATTCGCCCACTGCTCTCCTCACCAGTGTATTTCAGTCAGTCTGCCTGTTATGTTCCCCACTCTGTGTCTGGTGAGTCCTCTCACCCCCGCATCTCTGGCCTGTACCCTAGCTCTTGTATGCATAAATAAATAAATCTTAAAAAAAAAAAATAGTAAAAGAATTTGTTCTAGCCCAGCACAGGAATTGTCAGAACAATTGGTGCTAAATAGCTGTGTAGTCTTTTTCTGATAACATGTATTAAAATATTACAACTTACAGAATACAGTTCAGGGAATTAGAAGTCAAAAATTGCTGCTTGGCTGCAGGAAATTTTTCCTTGTCATAGACTGTGAAATAAAAGTACAAACTGTACACTTGCACATTGTAGTGGTTGTGTTACTATACCATACTGGTCACATATGACTTTTTAGTTAATCTACTCTGACCAATGAAACATTCCCACTCCCAAATGTTCACTATTCATACTTTATTTTTTCTCCAGGGCATTTATTACCTCATCTAACAAATCACATAATTTGCATGTTTATGTATTTATCTTCCCTACAAGGAGAGAGATCTTTGCCTCTCTTTCCAGCTCTATCCTTAGCACCTGGAAGAATATGCGGCACATAATAGGTGCTCAATAAATATTCGTTGAGTAAATGCCTCCATTTATTTCCTTTCATCTACGATTATATCTTGAAAGAAAAATGACTTGAAATTAACAATAGTTTCACGTGAATTGTTGACTGCATTTTCCCAATGGTAGGGGAGTTATTTTCTTCTTGATTCAGATAGGTTTTCATTTTGAGAATTGAGATGAATAGTACTATAATCCCAATTACCTTGTTTTCCAGGATAATTGGAATATGTTCTCTAGAGATGGTGGCATCCTTTGGGGAATGAACTGCTATGTAGGTAGTTGAAAGACAAAGCAAGGTAAATTGTCTGAAGATGTACTGCCTGATAAGGATTGGTACCCAATAACCTGGAAGAGGTTTTGCTATCTTGAAATAGCTCTCTTCTCTCCGGGGACCTCACCCCTAATGCCCTATGGTATCCCTACCTGGCCCCCAACAAAAACCCACTTAGGATTTCCCATCACACACAGAAATCCTTATAACCTACAATGCCAACATGGTCTGTTCCCTGACTACTGCCATCCCTTTCCACCTGCCAAACCAGCCTTCTATCTACTACTAGAACCTGTCAAACAAGCTTCTGCCTCAGGGCCTTTGTGCTTGCTGTTCCTTCCACAAGTACTAGAGATGTGCACCTGACACTCCCTTACCTCTTTTTGGCCTTCACCCAGTTGTCTTCTCAGTAGTGCCTACCCTGTCCATGTTATTTAATTTTTTAAAAGATTTATTTTTTTATGCATATAAGAGCTGGGGTGTAGACCAGAGGTACGAGGGTTGAGACGATTCACCAGAGACAGTGGGGAACAGAA